AAAAAAAAAAAAAAAACAAAGAATTTAGAAGAGTACTTAGAATATGTGTACTTTTGGGCCCAGTGCATGAATTATGCTTAATACTCTTCACTGAAATGAAAATTTGTTTTTTCATCTATAACCTTTGATTTTTCGCGTAGATCATGCGCAGGGAGAAACTCCTTGCTTGCTCTCACCAGCCCTGTTCCAGTCACGGGTGATCCCCGTGCTTCTCCAGTTGTTCGAAGTTCACGAAGAGCATGTGCGGATGGTGCTGCTGTCTCACATCGAGGCCTACGTGGAGCACTTCACTCAGGAGCAGCTGAAGAAAGTCATCTTGCCACAGGTCAGAGGCCAAGTTTGCAGTGGGGTAGTCACAGAACCTGAGGAAAGAGTGCTGAAAGGAGGAGGTTTGGAGGTATTCAGATAATAGCTTACAAAGCCTTGAGGCAGCAGTCTGTGGAATACAAAGTGCTGAAATTAAAATTGCATTTCCATTCCATTCACACAGGCAAATCGATTAAACCGACATATTTGGTCTTAACCTGGGAAAAACTATAATTGTTTGCTAATTTCAGAAGGGTAAATGAATAACAATAATATATGGAGGGCTTTGTGAACATAAAATGTAATTATCCATAATTATTATAAAGTAATTAAATTAGAACAGAGAGGAACGTGAGATGATTTGTATCAGTGGCTTTCAGCCTGTTGTTATCAGCCACTAGGGAACTTTATTATGATTTGCCCACTGAAGTGTTTCGTTAGTGAAACTAATGAAAGGTTTGTATTAGTTTCTTAGGCTGCCATAACAAATTATCACAAACTGCATGGCTTAAAGCAATAGAAATTTATTCTTAGTTCTGGAGGCCAGAAGTCTAGAACCAGGGTGTCACCAGGACCCTGCCTCCTCCGAAGGCTGTAGGATGTGAAAGGGACTCCTCCTTACAAGCTTCTCATAGCTCCCAGCAATCCTTGATATTTCTTGGCTTCTGTCTATATCATTCCAACCTCTGCCTCTGTTGTCACGTGGCCTTCTTACCTCCTTGTCTGTCTTTACATGGCCTTAGAAAGACACCCGTCATCGAATTTATGGCCTACCCTAACCCAGTATAAAGGTCACATTCTGCATGGACATGAATTTTGGAGGGACACTATTCAATTTAGTATGAAGTTTTTAAAAAATTGTTTTAAAAGACTACAATCACATGGTGTCTTTCAAATAATTTTCCTGTGAGATAGATTAACATTCTCTCTGCTTTCAAGGAGCTCGTAAGTGGGATATGTTTCAGTCATCTGTTGCCGTGTAACTACCCCAAAACTTAGTGCCTTAAAACAACAATCATTTTATTCTCATGATTCTTTGGATTGATTGGATTCAGCTGAAGGTTCTGTTCCACATACCAGCTGAGGCTTCAGTCATCTGGGGCCCGACAAGGGTTGATACATCCAAAATGGCTCCTTGGTATCTTGGAAGGGGTGGCTGCGAGGCTGGGCCTTTCTCT